ATTCTGTCTAGAGTTATTGTTGCATTCGTTTGCACTGTCTGCTTTATATGTAAGTGTGAGTGCCTTATGATACGCAATTATATAAGTGACCTCATTTCTACTGAACAATGAACATCACAAATAAGCCATCAAACATTTATTTACTCACCAGTAGAGGAGACCAAGAAAAATGAGGAAGAGGCTGAGTGTCACCGATATCTTGCTGGCCTCAGTGTTGAATACATTTAGAAAGTCACCTGCAGCCTGCATGTTGGAAAATCTTCTCTCACTTTTCTACCATGAACAGGACAAAAAAAGCTCCTGGAGATTAAAACAGCACAAAATAATTAATTATACTAAAATTATTGTCGAATATCTTTGTCATGGCTTTCACTTACGGTATTTTAAACACCAAAGCTGTGTAGTAACTCCTTCTGCAAGGGAAACAAACATATGACAATGATCATAGATATTGTCAGGCTCCTTTGTCTCTGACAGATTAGCCGTATGGTTTCTTCCAAGACTTGTTAATTTTTGAAACTTTGTTTGTAGCCTTGAGAACTCACCTTAAGAGGAGTTCCTGTTTTGTGTGCACAAATGTTAAACCACGGGTAAAATACTAACTACATGCAATGCCTTACCACAGAAGACAAAAACCCCCCCACTTGTGTAGAAATGTGCCAATGAGACAAAGGTACTATTTATTTGTAGAAGTCCAGGGTTCAGTTTTTGTTTTCACTGCATTTGTCTGAATTTGTAACGCAGCTTTTAACCCTGATGTAACTCGTGTTATGCTACGCTAGCCAATAGAAATTAATGTCTCTGCAACACTGGATTTTTTTGTGATCACAAGATATATTGTTTTTCACAAAGTTCTACTGCTCCTATAGAGAGACTGCAGAATAAATTTATATCATGTCAAAACATTTGTAATGTTGTAGTAACCAGGGGCGATTCTAGGATCAGAGCTTTGGGGGTGCTGAGCACCCAGAGAGCTGCCCATCAAGGCAAGGTAAACTTTACTCATCACAA